TATTTAGTTCTGTCACTTCCTGTTTTATTTTGGAGGTTGTGTTCCTTTTTCATTGTCTTAAATTTTGCTTCCTTTCTCTGGTGTGTTATTCTCTATTCTGTTCTATTTGTTATCTTCACTGCTGTAATCACCCTTTTAAGTATATATAGTTATTGCCTTCTCCTTTTTTTTTTCAGAGTGTCAGTTCATTTTCCCCTCTTATTTTCCAGCTCCAGCACTCCCTTGCCTAGTATTAGTTCTCAGTTTAGGTTTCAGTTTCTTTTTTCCCTTTAGTTCTTTTTTTGTACTTTGGTCATCAGCCAGTTTTTTGTTTACTGCATCTACCTGTGAGTCTGAGTCAAAAAGCTCAAATAATCTCAAACAGCTTTATTAAAAATGACAGTGAATTAGATGACCTCCAAAGTCGCCAGATCGCTCTAACAGAGCACCTTTGGGTTTTACATAATGGATGTGCAACCAACAAATGTGTAGCAACTGTGTGATGCAATCATGTCAATGTCCTCCTGAAAAACAGAATATTCATTTATGTCCTATTTGAACTACCCTGTTAAGGCCTGATCTACTAAATAGAGGACATCCTGGGCTTTCCATTGACAGCTTGTGTGTTTGGGTGGCTTCTTTTAGCTCCAAAGAGGAAGGAAGTCTTAGGAAAAAGTTCAATGAGTAGATTCTTTTTGATATGGATCAAAATTTCCAATGTTTTATCCACTGCCTGACAACTTCACTGTAACACACTAAAGAGGGGAAACAGATTGGAGCCTACTGACTGATTTAAGGCCTTTAATTGTGCAAAGTGGTTTAAGGCAGTAATCACTCGATTAAAAGCTACAAATCAGTCAGCATGAGCTTATCTTTATCTTTCAACACTGCTGCGATACTTCTCATCAAAGGTATAGCAAAATAATGTTATTTTAATAACTACTGTGTTTTTCAGTATCATCCTTTAACCCTCTCAGGCTCAAATTAAACTTTTTGTTGCTAATGCACAACCAAGTCCTGCAGTGGTACTTCTGAGTAAAAAAAAACCTCATAAAATATGTATGTGGGGTAATCAGGTTGTTAGTTTTTAACTGTTGCAAATCAGCAACACCTGCCTTGAGAGGGTTAAATATTCAGTAGAGGGAAATAAGTTGTTTTCTGCATTTATGTTTTGATAATGAAATGAGATGTAGGTCGACATTATCAGTGGGAAAGCATTAAAGCCAAAAATGTTTTATTGATGCAAATAATGTTGACAGAAATATTCACAATAGTAATACAATACTTATAGACATTTAAAGACAAGTAGATTTGGCCATTTGGGATTTAAAAAAATTAAAAAATAAATGTTTTTCTTATAGTGGAATCAAGATTATATAATGTTGACGACATGCTTACCAAACTCATAACATTTTTACCGATTGGATGATTATTCATTTGATAGATCGAGGACTGGCAACAAGGCTGACAACTGTTCCTTCTAGTTTAGTTGTTGAGGTAAACCTCCAAAAGGCTGATTTTATCTCTGAAATGTAAAAAAATGTAGATTTGTAGTCTTTTTGGTTACAAACAGAATTAATTAATATTTGAAGAATTATAGCAATACTTATGAAGGCCACAGACATTGACCTCTCACTCCCTATCAGCTTTCCAGTGGTTCTATAGTCACTATGTATCCATTAGATCTGTTGTTCATTATGTTCAAATAAATACTAGAATAGATTTCTGTCAAATGAGAATTTGATTACAGGGTTACACATTTTACTTTCATATGTACCTAAAGGTGCCATTTGTTTTCAATATTGTGAGCCAGTTTTGTCATTTACAATCATAATTGTTATCAGTTAGTTCAGTGGTTCAAAACTTTTATTTCAAACTCCACCATTTATACTGGGCAGAATCAGTTTTGTAGATTCATCTAATTTAAATTCTGTTGTATTTATGTATTGACAAATCATAACAAGGGTCACCTCTAGGTGCTTATTTACAGGGTAAAATTTGATAGGTTAATTAACAGGACAATGTATTGTCTAGCAAGAAGCACAGTCTTTATTACTATGTCGGTGATCAGTAAAACCAGAAGTTAAGGCCTATTCTTGAACTGGTAATGCACTTCTAATCTGGTTTCTTTTATGTCTCATGCAGAGAAGAAGAAATTTACTGGAGTGTGAACAAAAGATGCTTCCTTCCTACAGATGATACATTGGTATTGCTTGTGTTGCATGAATTCAACCACAAACAAATTACCAATTCTGAAACTAGTTTCTCTTCTCGAAAAATTTGCAGATCTTTTTATACCCTGAGTCTGAGAAAGTGTGACAGCAAAACTAATAAAACATCACACCTACCATAGATCGATACATTTAACTCAGATTGTGAACACCTTAGAAGTAACACGCATCTCATTTCAGGTGTTGCTATAAATACTAAATAGTTGCCACTGAAACAATTTTAACCATACTCAATGCTTTAACACATAAATGAATTGCAAGCTTATTGTACAGTATCACTAAAACAAAGTCTAAGAGGCTGTAGCTGAGAAACACTCTGCTGTCACAACAAAAAAGTGAAGATAAAGAGGAAATCCTCCTGTACACCTGACAGATTAACTCTTTTGATTAAGAGAACTTTTGATTAAAAGTTGTTTAAAAGTGATTTGTTATACAGTTATTTCTACTCAGAAAGTTTATTCATGTCTTTAACGGCCTTATAACTCAGCATCAGAAAATGACTTATCTTTGCTGCGAGTGGTGACCATTGAGTTTGTATAGGTGTATGAGCGAGAAACCTCTTCCTGGAAGGCACTCTCCAGCACAATCAGGATGGATTTGCGGACTTTATCTTTAAAATCTTGGCCCATGAACACATACAGCAGTGGATTCAGGCAGCTGTTGAGAAAGGCCATACTGGTGGCTATTGGTAACCCAATTATGGTGATATCATCTAATATCTCACTTGAATATTCTGGCATGTAATTTGCCATCTCAATTAGACCCATGATGTGAAAGGGAGCCCAGCAAAGAAAGAAAGTGATGATAATGGCAGCGATGATCTTAAAGGGGCGACTTGACTGATTGGCCAGTGTGCGGTTTCTTCTGAGACGATGGATTATAACAGCATAACA